TATCAACAAACTTACTTTGTTTCATCTGTACCGGACCACTTAATTCGGAAATCATGTCACTTTGAAGCAGACCTGATCACACTTTAGTACTATATACATGTATGTCACTTTTTAACTCCGATTGAACGTCCCAGTGAAAGGAATCCACAGGAATCATTCTTTTTGAATCCGTATTTCTCCCGATAGGTTGTACTATTTTTCCAGTAAATCCTCTATTCTTATTCCCACCTCTTTGGTATCTGCACTTTTTTTTTGCACATTTCTCATTTTTTTTCGTTTCGACAAAAGTCACACCGATCGAAAATCGTATTTATTTCCGCGTTGTGGTTTGGAATTACCTCCACTTATCATTCACCTCCGCATAATTTGATTGATAGAGAAACGAAATCGGATGGTTTTGTGATATATGAACCAAAAAGTCGTCTCTCTGCGTGTTTCCTGTTGCTCTAGGTACCTGATCTTCCGGGTGGTGTCGCCATTGTTCGAACTGGATTCAGTCGTATTGTAAGTTTACTTGTTCAGTATTCGCAACCTACCGGGTGGGTATAAAAAGCCAAGACAGTCACTCTCTCTCTCTCTCTCTCTCTCGCCCTTTTGCATTTGCATATTCTTGTTTGGCATGTTTATTCGTCCACGGGCTGTACACGATTCTAAACCCGATAGATTGGAGCCACACATGCCATTACTAGCCGTACTTCCTACTCCCAGTCAAGGTCATTGACCCGTGATGCCTTGATGCAGCGTACACTTTTGTGTGTTTCTGTGCGTGCGTGCTTGCATGTATATATATATATATATATGTGTGTGTGTGCGTGTGTGTACAACTAACTGCGCCCAGCGAGTCGTACTACGGCTGGTTGTCCTCTGCCGGTTTTTTGTGGTTGTTACAGTTTGACCAAGTTATGTAAACCACTCTATCGTGAGTATTGAGCTACGGGAGCCCATTCCAACAGCAGAATAACCAACCGTTGCATGAGAACTACACCCCAGAAAAAACTGCTTTCGCAAACTGTTGACGTACTTTCGTTTCTCCAAAGAATTATCTATTGTCTGTTGGATTTCAGTGCTTCAAAATCACTAATCCACCTGTTGTGGCGAAACTCCTTCAAATCAGTCACTTAATCGATACTTGAGACCTTAGTTCTTTTCACCTTTCCTCCACATGACTGCGTCGTAACCGGTTTCAACCAATTGCGAAAGAACCTTCTTTTTTAAACTTATGCTTACTTTTTCCGATGGAGCGCAATGCACTCGAAGTTCAAGTCCAAGTTTTATTACGGGGAAGTACTTACAAGCAGTTGCTTTTCATTTCCCATCGGACTGAGCACAAATGGATCGATTTACGGTTCTTAGAGAGATGCGGAATGTCACAAATTACCATTGTTTCGTGCACTGCTACGAACGTCGAAGTCGAAGTCTTGACAATATTTCATCCATTTTGTGCGTGAAAGAATTAGTTGTGGGCGCGGAAACAACGTGATGTACTGGAGAGTCCAAAATCCTGCACACTCTGGGGGCAAATGAATGACGCTGGTATTCTAGTCGACATTTTCGGAGCAGTAATTTAAATGAGTGCTCCGTCAGATTAGTGTTGGGTGACAAGACGAACAGTAAACGACATGGGTGATCAGGATTCTGCATTATTTGATACATGAAAATCTTCGAATTTGGTGGTATCGTGTGGAATAAAGTCCCAATGCTTCCCGTCTTTCCACGCAAATCTCGATCATTTTGGTGGTCATTCTTCGTAGACGTTCCAAAATCTTACGATCGCGTCGCAGCCATGGGTTCCACGCTTGAATGGCATACTCTTTGTAGGGTCGAATGTAGGCTGATAACGAACGTGAGAACAGACTGGAGCATCATTTGAACCGTGATTAATATCCGTAAATAAGGTCGGTTTGTGGCCATATTGAACGCGCACAGAGCTCCATATTCTCCCGGTGACAATCAACCAATTCCCAAATGATTATTTCCTATTTTTCGGTTGAACTGTCGCACTTTCCGACCGGTTTTTCTTTTCAATTACTTCCATCTCAACTAGGGTATCTTCTCCCCCCTCCTAGTTTTCATGTTCCTCATCCTGAATAAGTGAGTCTGAAGATAGTGGGTGCTCTTGTAGGCATGCACTGTCCGCATTCATCTCGCTTGCTTCCATTCACCACTGTATACATATGTACTTATGTATCGTATTGCCATTCGTTTCCTCCATATCCCAATCTGTGTGTGTGTGCTCGCGCACTGAAGGCGGGAAGCTCGGGACTGGAGCACTCGACTTTTGAGATAACTCGCCTCAATTAGTAGTGCATGTACCTGCCTAATCTCGAATCCCCTTTTCTGTTCGCATAGCACGTATTCACAGTTCAACACGTGGAGGCGTTCGTCAGTGCAGCGTTCGAATGTGCTCAAACGTACTTGGGTCTGAGTTTGAAGCGGTCCAAAGTGGCTCTGACGCGAGACTATTGCCGGGAATTCCGATTGGGAAACGTAAGGTCAGTTCATCACTGCTGCTGCTGTTTTGCATCGCTTGTATCAATCAGTCGTCACATAGTGTATGATTTGTATGTAGAATAGCTAGCTTTCAATCTGCCCCGAGGTTGTATAGATCACATCTTCACTGTTCGCCAAATTCGAGAACACTGACACTCTTTTTGTACACCCATCATCTCAATCTTTCTTTCTCTGAAAGCGGTTTTCGCCTCAATCGACCGCTCTAAACCCTGGCATTGCCTCTGTCTGAAGGGTGTGCCCGAGAAGTTAATTTCAATATTACGATCCCTTTATACTAATTGCCGAAGCCGAGCTGATGGCACATTTTTGCCCGAGTTCACCACCGAAAGTGGTGTTCGTCAGGGCTGCCCCCGCTCTCTTTCTATTTAACTTTGCCGTAAATATAATTCAACCCTATCCTCATGCGACGGTAGCGGCATTAATTTACTCCCAGGTGACAGACTATCTGATATAGAGTATGCAGACGACATTGTACTACTAAGTGAAGATCCAGGTAAGTTGCAAGCCTTTCTGGATAGTTTGAGTGCTAGTGTAGCCATGTTCGGTATGCGTTTTACGCATTCAAAGTGTAAAATGTTGCTACAATATTGAGTTGGTCCAGCCCCCAACCTCACCCTGACTGGAGAAGTAGTAGAGTAAGTTGACAAGTTTTACTGTCTGGGCACCTATATCTCACCTGTGGGCCGCGTCTCAGATGAAGTGTCGGCCTTACATACGAAAGACCCGGTTGGCGTTTGTCAACTTGAAACATCTGTGGCGCCGTCGCGACATCCGACTGTCTGTAAACGCTCGAGCACATGCTATAGCAGTTCGACCAGTACCGCTCTTCGGTGCAGAGACTTGGCCATTACGGGAACAGGATGAAAATAAATTGTCGGTGTTCAAACATCGCTGTCTACGTCGCATTGCACGAGTCTGGTGGGGAAACCGGACGAGCAATGCTGAGGTTAGGCGTAGAGTTTTAGGTAATCATGGTCGACCTTTAGAGATGACGCTGTTTGGGGCATGTGTTGCGCATGTCACCAGGTAGGTTGCAATAATGAGCTATATTTGCCGAGGTAGGTAGCGGATGGAAAAAGGTAAAGGGGGTCAATTTAAGACCTGGCATGGGGTATGAAAACCCTAACCAGGACATTGGGACATGCGTGTCCCGTTAGACTCTCTGGATAGGGACCCGGAGATCGTGGTGACCGGTCGTTAGAGAAGCTGAGTATCTTAAACAGTGGCGCTCATCCATCTACCCATTATTCTTGCAATCGCAGTCTATGTGAATTCTTTATGTTTCCCTTGAATTTGTTCTGAGCATTCGAATCTTCATTCTGCTCGTTTATTCAAATGGGCGACCAAAAGACAGTAACCAAAACCGGCTCACGAAAGTGCATGGTTAACGGTTGTAAAAACTGGAACTAAAACTGTAGAGTGGTGGTTTTTTTGGAGTGCATCTATTCGAAAAGATTTTAGGTGCGATATTCACTCTATCACTTGATGGGACGTTGGGCCTTTAAAATTTATCGCATCAGATACTCGCCAATGCACAGCTCGTACCGACCGATTTTTGATTGCAAACATGATAAAGCTAGGAAAATGCACGTTGAACATAATACTAAACCATGACCTACAAAGAACCACAGTACTGATTAGATCCACATGGTGGTCATTCGGTGGTAGTGTGTTTGAGTTTTAAGGTCGCTAAGAATGGGGTTGGTGCTCCCAGGAGCGGCGTCGCCTTGGACAAGAAGAAAGATTTGCGTTTACAACTTAATAAGGACACGTGAAATCGATGACCAAGATCAATTCTGCCCACTTGTGTCTTCTTGCGTTGATTTAAGTTTCGGTCGAGTAAATTCAGGCCACCCCGATAAATAACTGATTCTGAAGAGCGACCCTCATTTAATATGTATACACGTCGGTGGAAGAAGCGTTGAACTGTTTCCGTTGCTTTATATCGATCACCTGAGTACTTGTGAAGGATGAACCGGCTTCATGAAGTGTCATAGGAGTTTCGTGCGAGAGGCGACATCAGTGTCCCCAGGCATTATTAGACGGACCACTTATAACCTTATAACCTTTGCGCAATGAATTGCGAACTGCAGGACGGCAATGTTAATTCATGGTTGTCGGTTGGCTTCCTAGGAGCGCATTAACCATTCGCCAAATGTGGATTTACATCAATCCTGTTCGGTAAACAGATTTCCCTGGTAACCTTTTGATAAAAAAGCAGGTCTGGCCTGCTCACTAAGATATCGGTCTTTTCACAGGCCGTGGGTGATACTTCAATCAAGAAGCTCGGTCCCATAGGTCCCATTAGTCTCTCTGGTTGGGGACCTCGAGATGATCGTAACCGGTGGTTAGAGATGCTGAGGAATACGTTTGAGTGTCGTAAACAATGGCGTTCGTGAATCTTTTCAATTTCTTTGCTGCGGTAGTCCATTGAAATTCTCCATTTTCTCTTTGACCCTACTTTCAACCTTCCTGTTTTTCTCCTACGGCTTCATCCAAATGAGTAGGCAAAAAACAGCAACCAAAACCGGTGCACAAAAGTGCACGTTTAATGGTTGTATGAACTGAACTCAAACTTTCGCAGACCGTACACTGTCTCGCCGAGATTCTTAGCTCTCGGTTAACCCTAATCTGATTTAGCCNCCCGAGTTGTGACCACTCCATGTCAATTGCGTGCTTTGGGCCGATCGTTCTATGAGATATAGAACTCACTTGTTGAGAGGCGCTATCCATCTGCGTCCAGGTATTCCGAAGCACGAGGAGTGAAATGTGAGGATAATGTTCCGTACGAGGAACATAGCCGATGTGCGGTCTTGTACATGTATCCCCAGTGCGCAGCACACAGCTCCTTTGATGGTACTAAACGTGTCATGCCGCACCCCTGAATGAANNNTTTCCCTACTGAGTTGTCGCAGCACTTGAAAAGCAAAAAGCAGAGGGTAAATCCAATTTCTATGTGATTGCCTAAGATGTTAGAATATTGTGTGCTTTGATATGAGCTTTTAACCAGCCACCCCAATAAATGCCTCGTAATTCACAAATCGATTTACTGGAAAGCACATTCAACAGGAAATTAGATTAAGCGGTGGTCTGGGGAACCTCGTACGGTCATGTAGTTAAGGTCATCATAAAAGAAGCCCCGAGGTCATGGTGGTTTAGTCGCTGTCACCGGCATGCTTTGGACCCCATGGTCCGAGGTTCGAGCCCTGCCACCGCCACCGCCACCCAACTTTGGTGGTAGACGGCTTTGCTGCTATCCGGTTCAATACCACGCCTAACCTAGTGCGGCCTTATACGGTTCGTGACTTAAAGTCCCAAGGCTTAGGTTGCCGGTTTTCATCACAGAATAGTAGGTCTACGCGACTGTGGGGTTCACCCTGCATAGTAAAAAAGGAGTTTAAAACCCGCCACTGATGCTCATTACCTCCATTTTCCACATTTCTTCATACAGCATTTGATTGGTTGCAACCCCCCCCCCACTGTAGGTTTATGTCCCATGGGCAATACGGAGTAAACGATGCTCATTATAATAAAAAAATATTTTCGTCTTATAATCATTGCTGTTGGTTAGTTACTTAGTGCTAGTAAGCGAGTGGTTTTTCTAATCGATCCTCAACCTCTTACCTCATGTTAAGCAAATGGATTCCGGACACGGCGGTGCTCTCTTTTTCCGATTTTTCCGATTGTCGACAAGTCCCATTTACCCATCCGTTGCGTTGATTCAACTTGGTTTTCGAACAGTTACAACAATGAGCTGCTACTCGTTGGCGAATGTGAACGGTGAAAACAATAGCTAGCTGCTATGCATCGGTTGGTTTTTGTGGAATAGGACATAGTTCGGCCCTCCCTTATCACCGTTCCCTGAAGCGTTACTCCCTCCTCGACATTTAAGGGTGAGGCAAGCGAGACATTTTTTCACCTCTAATCTCTTTTGAACTAATCATTGTCAGAGAGGTGGTGGTGACGCGGTGGTTTAGCCGCTCTCACCGGCGTGCTTTGTACTCTATGGTCCGAGGTTCGAGCCCCACCACCGCCACCCGACTTTGATGGTAGGCAGCTCTGCTGTCGTCCGNCTTTATGTGGTTCACCCCACTCCAAGTCCCTTGACTTACCCGTTACCCGTTTCCATCACTGAACAGCAGGTCCTCATGACTGGAGTTTACCCCGTCTGCTGTTCATCGCACTAAAAGGGTGTGTAATAAAAAAAGAAAAGAGAATATCATTTCGTTCTGTAAACTTCCTAATCTTATTGGGGCCCTTTTTGGTTTTTCTTCTATCCATTTCGATGTGATGTGATATTCATTTCATTGTTTAATGTTGCACGTCAGTCGCTCTCATTCCTGTTTGT